ATCTGTATTTACTAAAGAAGAACTTAACAATATGCCTTCAGCCGAACAACATAAGAACATAAGAACAAAGGTAACTGCAGAAGGCCTATTGGCCCATACGAGGCAGCTCCTATTCTATAACCACCCAATCCCACTCATATACTTGTCCAACCCGTGCTTGAAACAATCGAGGGACCCCACCTCCACAATGTTACGCGGCAATTGGTTCCACAAATCAACAACCCTGTTACTGAACCAGTATTTACCCAAGTCTTTCCTAAATCTAAACTTATCCAATTTATATCCATTGTTTCGTGTTCTGTCCTGTGTTGATACTTTTAATACCCTATTAATATCCCCCGGTTATGTCCATTCATCCACTTGTAAACCTCTATCATGTCACCCCTAACTCTTCGCCTTTCCAGTGAATGCAACTTAAGCTTTGTTAATCTTTCTTCATATGAAAGATTTCTAATTTGGGGAATTAACTTAGTCATCCTACGCTGGACACGTTCAAGTGAATTTATATCCATTCTATAATATGGCGACCAAAACTGAACTGCATAATCTAAATGGGGCCTAACTAGAGCAAGATATAGCTTGAGAACCACACCAGGTGTCTTGTTACTAACGCTGCGATTAATAAATCCAAGTGTCCGATTTGCCTTATTACGAACATTTATGCATTGATCCTTTTGTTTTAAATTCTTACTAATCATAACTCCCAGATCCCTTTCGCAATCCGACTTCGCAATCACAACACCATCTAGCTCGTATCTTGTAACTCTATCATCATTACCTAACCTCAGAACTTTACATTTATCAGCATTAAACTGCATCTGCCAATCCTTTGACCATTTCAAAACCCTATCTAGATCAACTTGAAGTGATAGTGAGTCCTCCTCCGAATTAATTTCCCTACCGATTTTCGTATCATCGGCAAATTTGCAAATGTTGCTACTCAAACCTGAATCTAAATCATTTATATATATTATAAACAACAGAGGTCCCAGGACAGAGCCTTGAGGCACTCCACTTACAACATTTTCCCACTCTGACTTGATTCCATTTATACTAACTCTCTGTTTCCTTTGGTATAGCCATGCCCTAATCCAGCTTAATATAGCACCCCCAATACCATGAGACTCTATTTTTTTAATCAGTCTTTCATGTGGCACTGTATCAAAAGCTTTGCTAAAGTCAAGGTATACAACATCGCAATCCTTACCACTATCAACTGCCTCAACAATGCTAGAATAAAAAGATAACAAATTTGTTAAACATGAACGGCCATTTATAAAACCATGTTGCGACTCAATTATTAATTTATGTTTTTCAAGATGAAGACGAATTTTATTTGCTATTATAGATTCGAGTAACTTTCCCACAATAGACGTTAGGCTAATTGGTCGATAGTTAGACGCAAGTGATCTATCTCCTTTCTTAAAAACTGGTATCACATTAGCAACTTTCCAAAACTCTGGCACTCTGCCTGACTCTATTGATTTATTAAATATGGTTGACAGTGGGTCACAAAGCTCCTCTTTGCATTCTTTAAGCACCCTAGCAAACACTTCATCCGGCCCTGGGGATTTGTTTGGTTTGAGTTTTACTATTTGTTTAAGAACATCCTCCCTGGTAACTGCTAAACTCGTCAACCTGTCCTCGTCCCCACCCACATAGACTTGTTCGGCTGAAGGCATATTGTTAAGTTCCTCTTTAGTAAATACAGATACAAAATATTTATTAAAAATACTACTCATCTCTTCATCACTATCTGTTATTTGACCTGTCTCAGTTTTTAATGGACCTATCCTTTCCCTAGTCTTAGTACGATATAACTGAAAAAACCCTTTAGGATTTGTCTTTGCTTGCCCTGCTATGCGAACTTCATAGTTTCTTTTTGCTTTCCTTATCTCTTTTTTAACATTTCTAACCAGTTGTACGAATTCCTGTTCTAAAGTGACCTCCCCATTTTTAATCCTTTTGTACCAAGCTCTCTTTTTACCTATAAGGTTCTTCAAATTCTTTGTTATCCACTTTGGGTCATTAGTATACGATCTATTCAATTTGTATGGTATACTACGTTCCTGTGCTTTGTTTAGAATATTCTTAAATAAGTTATATATTGAATCCACATCGAAATCCCCATTTAAGTCACCTATCGCTGGGTTCATGTCTCGCTCCAAGACCGGCCCACACCCCATACCCAAGCCTTTCCAATCAATTTGACCCAAAAAATTTCTTAGGCTATTAAAATCAGCTTTTCGAAAATCTGGCACTTTAACAGAATTTTCTCCTACTGGTCTATTCCATTCTATGCTAAATCTGATTTCTTTGTGATCACTGCTCCCTAGCTCACTCCCTATTTCGATGTCATTAATTTGCGTTTCCCTGTTAGTTAACACTAAATCTAAAATATTATTTTCCCGTGTTGGTTCCTTAATGTGTTGCGTAAGAAAGCAATCGTCAATTAATTCTAGAAAATCTTCTGCTTCACTATTCCCTGTTTTGTTCAACCAGTTTATTCCGCTAAAATTAAAGTCACCCATGACATAAATACTGTTAGATCTAGATGCTCTAGATATTTCATCCCATAGATGCTTTGCTTCCATTCTGTCTAAATTTGGTGGCCTATATATTACTCCTATTATAATATTATTAGCTTTTTCGTTTAATTCAATCCAAATAGTTTCTGTGTGTGGCTCTGTTTTGATTCCCTCTTTGAGACTACATTTCAAATTGTCCCTAACATATATGGCTACTCCACCTCCTCGTCTAATATATCTATCTGTGTGAAATAGTTTAAATCCATATATTTGATATTCAGCTAATAGTTCTCTATTTTCTACATTCATCCACGTTTCGGTAAGTGCAATAATATCTATTTTTTCTGTGCAGACAAGAGCATTTAATTCGTTAATTTTATTTCTTAGACTTCTACTGTTAGTGTAATATACCCTAAGTGAATTGTTATTTTGCGGACCTTCTCTTTCCCTGATCGTTTTGCCAATTCCTTTCTCCCACAAACACATACTTTTATTACCTCCTTCCTCCAAATCAATTCCCATACCTCTATCTACTAACAGTTTAAACCCAAACAAACACCTCTAACCACTTCTTCTAGCGAGTTCGCAACAGCAACAACCCCAGCTCTCGATAGATGCACCCCATCACGAGCATACATTTCATTTCTTCCATAGAAGTGTTCCCAGTTGTCTATGAAAGATATTGCATTTGATTTGCAATATCTTTCCAGCCGGCAATTGACACCAAGTGCCCTCGATATCCATTCATTTCCCACTCCCTTTCTTGGAAGAATGCCACATATGATCGGGATTCCTCCCTTGCTCCTAACTAACTCTATGGCTGTTTTATACCTCTGAATCAGTTCCTCACTCCTGACTCGACCAACATCATTTCCTCCCACGCTAATGCAAATAATGGGATTGTTCCCATTACCAGCCATAATATCATTCATGTTGTTTATAATATCACCAATGCCAGCTCCGGGATAGCAAACCCTTAACCTGTTCCCCCTATCTCTAGCACAAAACGTTCTATCCAAATACCTTATCTGGGAATCTCCCACAACTAATGTTTGCTTAGGTACTTCCTTTACTTTCTGAGGGGCCTGCGCTTCCTTTCTCTTCGTTGCTTTCCCTTTTGCGCGATCCACAGTCTCTCCACAGCACTCGTCCTCCAAAACGTCAAATGAATTTGAAGTTGCTATGGCGTTTGAAGGCGGCTTTATCAAAGTCTTCTTAAGGCCCCTGTCTTTCGCAACTCTCCAAGACGAGGTCCCTTTACTGCTGGTCTCCTCCTTCGTTACTTCTCGTTGTTTTTTAAGCTGACGCACCTCCTCCCGCAGAGAGTCCAACTCTGTCCTCAGGGCTCCCACTAGAGTCACCAGGTCCTTCACTACAACTTCCATATTGCTATGATAATAATAGAATGGATATAAATTCACTTGAACGTGTCCAGCGTAGGATGACTAAGTTAATTCCCCAAATTAGAAATCTTCCATATGAAGAAAGATTAACAAAGCTTAAGTTGCATTCACTGGAAAGGCGAAGAGTTAGGGGTGACATGATAGAGGTTTACAAGTGGATGAATGGACATAACCGGGGGGATATTAATAGGGTATTAAAAGTATCAACACAAGACAGAACACGAAACAATGGGTATAAATTGGATAAGTTTAGATTTAGGAAAGACTTGGGTAAATACTGGTTCAGTAACAGGGTTGTTGATTTGTGGAACCAATTGCCGCGTAACGTGGTGGAGGTGGGGTCCCTCGATTGTTTCAAGCGCGGGTTGGACAAGTATATGAGTGGGATTGGGTGGTTATAGAATAGGAGCTGCCTCGTATGGGCCAATAGGCCTTCTGCAGTTACCTTTGTTCTTATGTTAACTGTTATCATTTTTTTGTCTATAAATTTTGCAAGTATTTACCTCCTTAAAATTTTCTTAGATTAAGGACCTGCCCGAAACGCTGCGCGTACTAGTATTACAAGACTGTAATTACCATATCATGTATCCTCACATTCACAATGTACATTCTTGTATATGCATAAATAAATAAATAAAATAAATAAATAAATAAATAAATTTGTGAAACCAATTACCGCGTAACGTGGTGGAGGTGGTGTCTCTCTATTGTATCAAACGTGGGTTGGACATGTATATGAGTGGGATTGGGTGGTTATAGATAGGAGCTGCCTCGTATGGGCCAATAGGCCTTCTGCAATTACCTTTGTTCTTATACGAGAACAAGCCAGTATGTTACAATTAATGAATGCATCTGGAGAGGACAGCCGCTGTTTTTAACAGCTTAGTGTGAGGACGGGGTTCACAGTTACAGCCTCGCTCCTGTGCCAGGTAAGTCCACTACGGGCTCACCATAGCCCGTGCTACCTGGAACTTTTTGTTCTTAGTAGCTGAATCTTAAACAACAGAGGAGGGGTTGGATAAATTCACAGGTGATTTGATGTTAACCGTTTTGTTTCTTCTTGTTGCAGTTCGAGCGGGCAGCGTCATTTTTTTAGTGGGCGTGGGTTCCCTGGTATGTTGGAAACTATGGGAACACTGGAGGAAAGGAGCGGGCGGCCCCACCACGCCGCCGCCCACGCCCACCGCCACACCACCAGCGCGCCGCCCTCGAGGCATCCTAGCATCACTCCTGGAGGAGGATCTCGTGCAGGATCCAGATGATTTCGAAGATGAGGACCCTGCTTTCATCCAGGTAAAAGAGGGGGGTTGACAGGGGTGGGGAAGGGAAATAATTACTTATTTAATGTCATAATTTGAGGTTTATACCTCATATACCTCACTGAGGTATATACCTCGCCAGAATTGGTTCATACCTCATCAATGACTCGCCAGAACTGGTTCATACATGGAGTATACCTAGAGTGGGCTCTGGAAATTCTTGTAATCCCCCAAGCCCGGCCTGAGGCCAAGATTGGCTTGAGATATCTTGGTCCAACAGGCTGTTGCTTGGAGTGGCCCACAGGCCCACATGGCTATAGCCTCTTCAGATCTTGTTTACATCTGTGCCTTGGGACGTATTAGATTCTTTATGACATTTGATTACCACCAAGAGGGTTAAAGAACACGTTTGTTGTAATATATATTTCTGTGTCACTGTTTCGGGTGATTATCTCAACAACCTCTTCAAGGTTTCTCGTGACACATAGGCCTATACCTCGGGCTTATATTCCATGGTATTTTATTCCCAGGTTTTGGCGTCCACAATTATATATATTTATATTTGGAGACAGTATATAGGACATTTGTAATGTTAATAGGACTGTCTCAGTGGACATCAGTTTTGCAATAGAAATGGCCCTTTAATTACGTTTGAATGAAGCACTTGTAGCTCAATAGAAGCGACGAAGTTTCGGTTCGTCCTGGACCAAGGGTCCCGGTAGTACAGTCGGGTTCGGTCTCTATGCACAATCGAGAATTCCGGGTTCGAATCCTAGATGGGACAGAAATGGTTGGGCACATTTCCTTTCACCTAATGACTCTGTTCACCTAGCAGTAAGTAGGTACTCAGGAGTTAGTCAGCTTGTTGGGGCATTGCATCCTGGGCGGGGTCAGTAATTCGGCCTGGGGGGGGGGGGAATTCGACCTGGGGGTCTTGATAAAAAAAAAAGGCCAAACATGTATGAATACACTCTGGCTTCCTGTCCCCCGACACAATGAACTAAAAAAAAATTATCAAGCCACTACATAAGTATTACCTCAATGGAGGTATTACATATGCAGCCCATCCTCCGAATAGACAGTACGTTTTAATACTAACTGAAATAAGTACAATTCTGACTATCAGCATAGTACATAAAGTAAGTAATTATCAAAAGAAGGCACCAAACCGGAAGGCTATGTAGCACCATCAAAGTGCGAAATAATCAGAGGGCGCTAAATATCACCAAGAATGCCAATACGAGAAAAGAAACGCATCAGGCGAACGATATCAAAAGTATCCGATTCACCAAGAATTCTATCAAGGGACAAGTGACCGCGAGGGATGGTCGGAAAGCAAGACACATGCACGTCCTGGAAGTCAGGACATTCAACAAGGATATGCATGACTGTAAGAGGGACAATGCAATTTGGACAATAAGGAGCAGGGCGGCGCTCCATTAAGTGACCGCGAGTTAAGCGAATATGGCCAATACGCAAACTTGCTAGAGCCGTTTCCCATCGCCGGTTACGGTGACAGGAGGAAGGCCATGGGAACACAATACGTTTGAGAGTACTCAGCTGTTACCAACTACAGAAGACCAACAACCCTGCCAACTGGCAAGGATTAAGGAATGAATAACTGGATAAAAGTCGATATAAGGAATACCTTTATGGGAGACAGGACAAGAGTGGATAGCTTCTCTAGCAGCAACAACTGCACGCTCATTTAAAGAAACACCAATATGGCTGGGAACCCAGCAAAACTACGGATTTAAATTTACTAGAGATAAGAAACAGCCAATGTTGAATCTCGACGACCACCGGATGGACAGGATTAAAGGACCCTAGAGCCATGAGGGCACTACGAGAGTCAACTACAACCACAAAGGAGGATTGACAATGAGAAAGCAAGAGACGGAGAGCATAGAGAATAGCATAAAGTTCTGCTGTGAAGACGCTAGCCTCCGAAGGGAGGCGACACATATAAGTGCGGTCAGGAAAAACAACAGAGTAGCCCACACCGTTCGCAGACTTAGACCCATCGGTGAAGATGGAAACAGAGTGGGAGTGCGAAGAAAAGTGCTCAAGGAAAAGGCGTTTCAGAACCGTAGGAGGGGTAAAAGCTTTAGTGATGCAGGTCAAGGATGTACAAAACTTTGGAAGGGGGACTCTCCACGGGGGCAAGGAAGGAACAATACGAGGAGAAACATTAGAAATACGAACGGAAAGAGAATCCTGTAAGCGAGATAGTCGGACAGAAAGAGGGAGGCGATGAAGAGGAACAGGAACCACAGGAGGGGTAAAAGTTAAAGCACGACAGAGGCGAGAGGAAGGATGTTGTAAGGACCGCGCAAGATAGCGAAGACAGTAGCGATCACGGCGGTCCTGGAGAGAGAGGAAGCCAGTGTCAACATACAAGCTGAGGGCGGGAGTCGAACGAAAGGCACCAGAGCTGAGACGCAACCCAGTATGGTGCAAAGCATCAAGACGGCGAAGAGTAGAAGGAGAAGCAGAAGAGTATGCAGGGCAACCATAATCGAGTTTAGACAGGACGAGAGAGGAGTGCAAATAGAGGAGCGTGCGCCTATCCGCTCCCCAAGAAGTATGGGACAAAACCTTAAGTAGGTTAAGGGCCTTAGAGCATTCAACTCGGAGGTAAGAGATATGGGGCGACCAAGACAAACGAGTGTCAAAGATTAACCCCAAAAGCTTAGCGGAATCCCTGTACACAAGGGGATGACCATAAAGCGACAAAGAGGGACGAAGAACGACATGCTTCCGAGTAAAAGTCATAGCACAAGTCTTAGACACAGAGAACTTGAAGCCATGATCGGTGGCCCAAGACGACACGGCATCAATTGCAAGTTGAAGCCGCCGTTGAAGGAGAGGTGAATCATCACCCTGACAGCAAAAGGTAAGATCGTCAACAATGAGAGCGGAGAAGACGCCAGAAGGAAGAGAGGAAAGAAGACCTTTGAGGGCAACTAGAAAAAGAGTAGTGCTCAGAACACTACCCTGGGGCACACCCTCATACTGCCTAAAAGGGGCAGAGAGAGTGGTACCAAGCCTCACACGAAAGGAACGACGAGAGAGGAAACTTTGGAGGAAGAGAGGGAGATTCCCACGAAGGCCAAAAGAATGAAGTTGGGACAGAATATGATACCGCCAGGTAGTGTCGTAAGCCTTTTCCAGGTCAAAAAGGACGGCAACAACGGAGGTCTTCGCAGCAAAAGCAGTACGAATATAGACCTCCAAGTTCACCAGGACATCCGTTGTGCTGCGGCACTTGCGAAAACCAAATTGAGAAGGGGAGAGGTGGTGATAGTGTTCTAAGAACCACATCAAACGAACGTTAACCATACGTTCAAAGAGCTTGCAGACACAACTCGTGAGGGCAATAGGGCGGAAGTCCTTGGGGGATGACCCGAGAGACCCTGGTTTCCGAACAGGGAGGACAACAGCATCGAGCCAGTCCTCAGGGACTGACGACGACTCCCAGACCCGATTGTACAGACTCAGTAAATACTGAGACGTGCATGGAGGGAGATGGCGAAGCATCTCATAATGAATGCCATCGGAGCCTGCCGCCGTAGAACCGCAGAGGGCCAGGGCAGACTGAAGCTCAGAGAGAGAGAAGGGATCGTTATAGGGAAGGCGAAGATGGGTACAGAAATCTAAAGGACGAGATTCAAGAATAGGCTTACGAAGAAGGAAGGATTGGGGAAGATGAGAACCAGAACTAACAGATGAAAAGTGGGAACCCAGTTCGGTCGCGACCTGCAACGGGTCCGCCACAAGAGCACCACGGAGGCGAAGGACCGGCGAGACATCGGGAACGAACTTACCCGCTATCTTGCGGATACGCTTCCAGACCAGTGGCAGAGGAGTTACGGACGAGATGGTGGAGGCATAATACATCTGACACGCACATTTAGCTGTACGGATGGTCCTACGGGCCACCACACTCACCTTCCGAAACAAAAGAAAAGACTCGACCCTCTGCCGGCGGCGGTCTCTCTTCTAGGCTGCACACTTACAGCAGACAGCCCGAGCATAGTCCACATTCCACCAGGGAACGCACTTCTGCGTTCCCCGAGAGGAAGAGCGAAGAATAGAGTGGAGGGCAGCGTCAAAGACAGTGTCATGAAAAAGGAGGAGGGCGTGAGGGAGAGGCAGAACGGAGAGGTCGGAGATAGTAGCACGGAGGGTAGAGAGGCGCCAATCAGCCTCGGCAAACTGCCACCTAGGGCAGGAGAGAGGAGGGTGAAAAGAGAAAAAGGTAACAAGGATGGGAAAATGGTCACTGCCATGGAGGTCATCAAGGACCCGCCACCCGAAATCAAAGTAAAGAAAAGACAAGCAAAGAGAAAGATCGAGACAGGAAAGGGATCGAGTCCGAGAGTCCAAATGAGTGGGCTCACCAGAATTCAGAAGAGATAGGGAAGAAGAGGGGATGAATGGCTCGAGAAGGCGATCCCGGGTGTTTGTCAGCACATCACCCCAAAGGGCATGTCGAAAATTGAAATCACCCAGCAGGAGCACAGGCTCCGACAAGGAGTCTAGGAGGTATTTAAGATCGGGAAGAGAAAGTGGGACAGTTGGGGGGAGATAAATGGAACAAACCGTGTACCATTTATGCACAAAGGCACGGGCAGCAGAACAGTGAAGAGGGGACGAAAAAATAAGGGGACGAAGGGAACATCTGAGCGAATCAAGAGAGCAGAAGAGTTATGGGCCCCAGCAACAGCTGGGGGGGGGGGGGGGGAGAAAAAGAATAGCTACGGAAGCGACCAGGACGAGCACCAAGCATCGGCTCCTGGAGACAGACACAAAGGGGTGAAAATTGTGAAACTAGAAGTTGGAGGTAAAGGAAATTAGAGTAATATCCACGGTTGTTCCACTGAAGAATAGACATCGACAAAAAGAAAAAAGATAGCAACAGAGAACAAAAGAAGAAATAAAGGTGAAAAAGGAACACAGCACGTTAAAGAAGCACAGGATCAGGGTTAGGGGGCATGGGTAAACTGAGTAAAGAAGGAGGGAAAGGAGCGGGAGGACAGACAAGAGGGGGACGAGCAGGACATGGAGTGGGAGGACAGACCAGAGGTGGGAGGAGGGAGGAGGAGGAGGGACAACCGAGGAGAGGAGGACTGAAGAGCAGGAGGAGGGGCAGAGAGAGGGGGAGCGCATCTCAGCAAGAGCAGTAACCGAGACGGAATCGGGGGCCGGCAAAGAAACCTCCACAGTAGGAACAGAGGGCTCTACCACCGAAGCAGGAGGGGAAGGAATGATAGAATCAGAGATAGGGGGCGAAGAAGAAAGCAAAGCCTTCTTACCTACCGGGGAGGAGGAAGGAGAGGAGCCAGGTTTCCGCTTCTGACACAAAGAGACAGGTGTCCCAGCAACAATGTATTGGCCAACAGACTCTAGCGTTTCAATAGGAGAAGAACGAGAGCGATGGACAACGGCCCGCACAGTCAGGCGGCATGGAGAACCAAGAGACGGAGGAGAATGATGGGAAGGAGGAGCGGAGGGAGAGGAGAAAGAAGACACAGGAGCCATGACAGACTGGGTAGAAAGAAGGGGAACCCTAGACAGAGAACCAGGAGGGGGACCCTCCGGGACAGAATGGAAAGAAACAGAGGTGGTGGTGGTGGGCGTGTCCGGGTCTAAGGCTTGGAAACGGTTGTAAGACTGAGGAAGGTGGGAAGGACGAGGAGAGGAACAGCGTACCACGCGAGCATAAGAGACGCCAGTGAAAGGGGGGAGACGAACTTGGCGCCTAGCCTCAGGAAAAGACTAACGGTCCCGGTGCTTCAAGTTGAGGATGGCTGCCTCAAGTTTGTAACGTATACACGTGCGGGAGAAGGTAGGGTGGGCCTCACCGCAATTGAGGCAGCGGGCCTGGGGAGAAGTGCACTCCAACTTAGAGTGACCCTCGCCTCCACACATGGGACAGAGGGAGACAGGACTAGAGCATTTGAGGGCACCATGCCCAAACCTCCAGCACTTATTGCAGAGCCGAGGAGATGGAATATACTTCTGAACGGAGCATCTGGCACCAGCAAGAATGACAGAGGGCGGAAGGGTCCTACCATCAAAGGTAATCTTCACAACCCGAAGGGGCAGACGGCGACGACCACGAGGGGGACGAGTAAACGTATCCACCTGAAGGACAGAATGACCCTGGGCCTCGAGGATATGCTCGATTCCTGATGGCAGTCTGAGATTTCTAACACCGATTGCAACATGGTGTGGGAGGAGAACAGTGCCAACACTGGCATTTAACCGAGCGTTCTTGGAGACCCAAACAGGGGTCTCGCCAATGCAGGATAAGGCGGCGAAGCAGGTGGCTGCATCCTGAGAAGGAGCAGCAACAACACGGGAACCAAGACGGGTGGGGTTAAAGGTAACAGAGGCATCCACTGAATCCACAAGATGCCTATGAAGGGAAAAATCGTCAGGAGGAGTTGAATCTAAAGGATGGAGGTCAAAGTACTTAGTCCATGTAGCAGGACCAAACAAAGTATGGTATGAATGAGTATGGGAAGGGAGCATACGAGAGCGGCCGTGGCGGGGACGGCGATGAGAACCTTTAGAGAGAGATGGGTCATAAAGCACAGTAGTCACAATAAGAGATGGAGCTGTGCAAGGGGACGAGGCGGTCACCACAGCGGGCTTGGGGCTCAACCCAACCACAGAGGAGGGAGGGGAGCAGGGAGGAAGAGTCCGGTCTGGGCCTAAACCGGGCCCTGCAGCGGGGGCTATAGAGCCCGGTCTTCCAGGATGGTCCGACTTAGGGGCCAGGTCGCCCACCCCATGAGCCTAGGTAAGAGAAGTCGTGTCGTCATCCATTCAGCAAACAATTTCAAAAGTTTGGGACCCGAAACCAAGAGATACCACCTACCAGGGCAGCCAGGGAGGCCGAGCGTGGGCCAGTGCAGGAAGGGTGCGTCATCCCCAGCGGTGCTCCCCCTTTTCAACAGGAGAGTCCTTCTACATCGTCCATTCTCCTACACTGGTGCTAAGACCCCATTCTCCCTATCGCCCCAGCCTGGACACCCAACCATCCACTCAGGGCGGCCTCTCACAGGCGACCCCTCCAGCGGGTGGTCCGATGGCTCACAAGGCCCCTACGTGGTGCCCTTCAGCACGTACACCACCCAAAGAAGGGGCAGGAGAGGGGGCACAGGCAACCCACACCGGTCCCAGGGAGGTGTACGTGAGCCCCTCACTACGCCAAGGAGGCACCATGGAGGGGCTTGTGTATATAGAATTGAACACAAAAACTTCAACCTAAAAATTTAAGTATATTAAAAGAAAATGAGGAGAATATATGGGGAGGTAAATGTAACAGCACAATTAAGTGTATTTATGTACTATGCAGGCAGTCAGGAATGTACTTATTACATTTAGTATTAAAATGTACTGTCTGTTTAGAGGAAGGGTTGCACTTATGTAGTATAATGTTATATGTAGTGGAGATAGGGGTTTAGGTAGTGGTAATACAGGGTTTAGGTAGTGGAGATAAGGATTCAGGTAGTGGAGATAGGGGTTCAAGTAGAGGAGATAGGGGTTCAAGTAGAGAATATATGGGTTCAGGTGGTGGATATAGGGGTTCAGGTGGTGGAGATAGGGGTTCAGGTGGTGGAGATAGGGGTTCAGGTGGTGGAGGTAGGGGTTCAGGTGTTGGAGATAGGGGTTCAGGTGGCGGAGATAGGGTTTCAGGTGGTGGAGATAGGGTTTCAGGTGGTGGAGATAGGGGTTCAGGTGGTGGAGATAGGGGTTCAGGTGGTGGAGATAGGGGTTCAGGTGGTTAAGATAGGGGTTCAGGAGGTGGAGGTAGGGGTTCAAGTAGAGGAGATAGGGGTCCAGGTGGTGGAGATAGGGGCTCAGGTGGTGGAGATAGGGGTTCAGGTGGTGGATATAGGGGTTCAGGTAGAGGAAATGGAGGGTTCCAGTAGAGGAGATAGTGGTTCAGGTAGTCAAGATAGGGGTTCCAGTAGAGAAAATAGGACTTGTGATTCTGGGATTGAGCTTTAATAGTGGATTTATTTCTTATAGCATGAGAATTGAGTAGTTTAATGCAATAGATAAGAAGCTAGCTAATAGAAACATTATTTTATTTTTTAAAATTTTCATCATATCATTTTAATACACATAAGATAACAATTCTCTTTTCATCAAAGGAATCCTTGAACATTGTCTAGTTTGTTGATCATTTGGTCCAGGAGGCCAAATCTTTTGCTGTCTTTGAATAAGAAGTGCACACTATATATTTGAAATGTAATAGTTTTCTGAGTTTGCCTGATGTGTATACATTATATTTGTCTTTATGTTATTTTACAGCTAATATTGGATTTAAGTCGAGAGTACATCACGAAGCTGAGTGTGGTCAGTACTTGTGTGATATGTTAAGAGTTATGGCTTTCATATTATTAACAGTGTTTACCCTCTTATAGTCCAGTTACAGTAGTTCTTTTACAATCCTAGTGTTCATAATAAGTTATGAATGGGGTGAACAAAGATATTCAGATTAATGCCTAGTAGAAGGACACTGTTGTAGTATGCATATAGTTTGTGTGTTTCTAACATTTGTTTTCTTCTGAGGTTTTGTTTATTAACTGGTATAAGTGTATGAGTCATCCACTTGCAGTTATTAACTGGTATAAGTGAATGTGTCATTCACTTGTAGTTATTAACTGATATAAGTTAATAAATAAATAAGTTAACCATCACAGTGTGAGGTAACCTACACTATGTGTGCTGAAGGAGTCTGTTATATTTTTAAGAATATTCACAATATTATTTATATTATGAGAAACCTGGCACAGTGTGAGGAAACACCTTCCTTGGTTGGCTATACTGTAATCAAAATATATTTAATACAACTTTTGAAATACAGTAACGGTTATATATCATATAGCTACAGTTTGGGACATAGTCAAACCATTAGCTTTAAAGATGCCTCTGGTAATCTTTATTATTTAGCTGCAATGAGTTGTGGCAAGACTGGTATATTTGGAGATCTTAGATTAACAACCTTTTGTGTGGGGGAAAAAAGAAAAAAAGAAACAGGAACTCAATGCCTAAGGATATAAAGATACCAAAAATTAGGGTGTAACTGACCCCAGATAATCTTGAGGATGCGATAGATAACTTTATGGAGTGTGGACATCATAGATATGGTGGTTGACAAATACGAGTCATGAGCAGGCGTTTGAAAAAGAAAGCTGTAAATTACCAGCAATTAGGCACATGAATGGTTAACCCTTACGCCTGCTACAGCCTGGGTTGTAAATTGGGGGTATAAGCTGAGGCTGGGTGAAAATATATTTGAATTATGTGAAAATTAATATTAAATGTTAAACAAATCTCCAACATATTGGCTTCAGCATAGTGAAAGTTTCATCCCAATATTTTCAGAAATGGGTTTTAGATAATTGTTTTTTAAAGAACATTTTGTTGATAATGAGAACAGCTCCAATTAACTGGAACTGAGGGATAATGCAGTAATAAAGAGATGCAAGCACCTGTCCGATGCACAAAGAAGAATAGTAGTTAGAAGTGCTCACAGTGGATATGCAGCTGGTGCCTTTATAGCATTGTTGAGTAATACATAATAACACATAATAATGAGTATGTTATTATGCTCTATTTTGTTATATATCATACAATACATTGGTGAAAGTAACAGGTATTACTATTAAACAATGTCAATTTTTTTTTTTGAGATTTGATTTTTTTTGGTATTTTGTTGTTTTTTTCTTCTTTGTTTATTATTTGATTTCGTTGTAATCTCTACATCCTGGAGAATGCATACCCCTCCCTAACTATGTGAAGATAGAATTAAATTGGTCAACAAATAAATCAGTCATAACTGGCAGAACTTGGGACTTTTAATTTTTTTTGCCTGATTTTTTCAGATTTAATTTAAAGCTCTATTTTTCTTGTTTCTTTTGATTTTTTTATGATTAGGGACAATATTATGGCTTTTTGACATATATAAAGTATACCCTAAATCATTATAATTATTATAATTATCCCTCTATTGTTTTTTTTTTTTTTTTTTTTTTTTACTTCATTTCAACACATATTGATCTACAACTTTCACATATTTAAGTATGAATACCAAACAATGTTTATTAAAACATACAAGTAAATTAATGAATTAGAACTATCTTATACATTGTCGGTAACTTCAACTTCAATTATCTCTAAAACTTGAGTTTCAACATTGAGTCAACTTAAAAAAAATCCAGTTTCTGATCGAATCTCACCATTTTTACATATAGTGTGCGCCGCTGTCTGTTCTACAATCCTATTAGAATGGATTTTTCATAAAACTAAATGTTTTGAGTTATAAATTTTATTGTCTGAGTTTGGTACATATTTCAAATGCCATATTGACGATTTTATTTACAGTAAACTAAACTGAAAATCTATACTGTACTCTAAATTTATTAAAATGAAGATCATATACTATTCTGAGAGCATAATAACACTTAATGAATAATTGGTAATATTTAATATTTTTGCAGCTGATCAGAAAATCTGAAATTTTCAATATTAAATTTTATAATTATTTTTAATTTTCTTGTTTTTCAAGTTACATTGGTGATCATTTAGACAAAGTTGGAGTGTTTGCCTAGTAGATTATGCAGAAAAAATTGGAAAGCGCTAAAACTAGTTGAAAATTTAACTTGTAGTATCATCGGGTCCAGTTGTATATATACACCATGTGCAGTTTAATGGTTAAAGAGTACAGTACAGTATTTTGAAGGCCCTAACTATTTTATGATGTCCAGAACTATGTACAGTATAATATTGATGAGATAAAGCATATGGGCTTCATCTCATGAAGCACATGAAACTTCATGCAGGTTGGCATTCAATCCCCGACCATCCAAGTATTTGGGCACCATTCCTCCCCCCCACCCCTCGTCCTATCCCAAATTTTTATCCTGACCCCGTCCCAGTGCTATAGTCATAATAACTTGGCGCTTTCTCCTTATAGTTCCCCCCCTTCCCTTCTCCAACCACACACGACACCAGCTTCTTTACAAGAACTTTAAGTTTATTATTATGTATTCATTTGAATTTAGAGTTTAATTCCTATCTTATTTGATGATATATCTTGTATAACTGTATATGATGATTCTGAAAATATCCACACCTGCAATACTATAGTTGTATTTCTGGGAGGTTATGGTCTTGAGGTGTTTGATATTAGGTTTCATGCTGTTTTTATGTCTGTTTACACCTGTTGAAATTGTCCTGATTTTTTTTGCTCATGGTGACTACAGAGTACCGTATATAATTCTTCAGCACCCATTTTTAATTTTGTTGTTGGGTCATTGTACTCATCCTAGATGTGTAGAGGTAGTTAACAGTTAGAATGCATTATAAGTGTGGCTAACAATGAATGATGTTCAGTCTTATGGTTATTAACATATTTTTATTAGATAAATGAATTGAGGGTATGTCCAGAGTCAGCATTATTTGCACACAGAAATCACAATAACATGATGCATCAAATGAACAAAATTTGATGAAGTAAGAAGTAACACCTCAACATAACATGAAGTAACATGAAGTAACACCTCAACGCCCTTAATAATGAAGTAAGGGCGAAAAGGGAGAACGGCCTATTGACATAGCTCGAGTGCATGGGGGAGTTGTGTAAAACCCTGGTTTGTATCTCGGAGAGGCTGCAGGATCCAGTAAGCTCAGTAGAACTTCGGTTTCAACTCTTGACCATGTCGTAGCTCAATCGATTAAGGCAGCATCTCGGATGCTCTCGGACGCAGGTTCAAATCTTTGTCACAGCCCTTGTGGATTTGTTCAGCATTATTTATCACAGGCAATAATTTGCCTTTATTTTTCTTTGTGAAGGTAAATTAACCTTAATATCACTTTAATGAAATTTTGCTTATAGTTTTTTGCAATGTTTTATGTTTTCCCTCATGATCACAGTAAGACTGGTCAATCTGATACTACTGTATACTGCAGTACATTTTACATTCTGAGAATATTTTCATGTAGAAACACTGTTACATAAGTTTGTTTTTACGAAATGATGTGTTTTCTTGCAGGGCAAGTACTTCGGCCCAGATAGCCCATGTGAAGAAGTTCCTTGTGATGAGGGCTCCTTGCTGAGCTCTGACATCAGTGAGGCCAGTAACAGTGAGGCACTTGCCCAGCCTTATCATGCAGATGCCAGTGCCTCTTATTCTGCCGGAGACGGGGTGAGTTTACATTGGTGAGGCATTGTGAAGGTGGCCGGGAATCATGAAAATGTTGCTAATTATTTAAGCCTCAGGAACAAATTACGTTTTTAAGGCTTATGCATGAATGCAGGATAAATTAAATGTGACAAGGAGGTAAGACAGACTAATATGGGGCTCAAGTGGGAATTTTGTGCAGCATATTTAGTAGATTTATGGCTTACGATAGAGTAAATATAACAAATAAAACATTTATTGTTGTTGGAAATGGACACCTTTGTTACTCTGGTATACCACTGCATAAAAAATTATCATATAACATGGTGCTGATATTGTAGTTTTTAATATTTAACTCGTATAGTTATTACCTATTTTAAGGTGTAAATGGTGTTCCAGGAGAAAATGAAAATGGTTGTAAATTCAAAGATTTATATATTAAAAGACAGTCACATATTACATTTTTAAAATATATACAGTACATAAGTATACATGATACAGGATGTATAATGGCAGAACAGTATAGAAGAGTGTTAGTGACCCCCAGTATATGCTTGAGAAGAAAGGTATGTTAAGGTAAGTGTGTGTTACTTGAGAGCAGTGAGAGAAATGTCTATAGGGCTGTCTCATCACATGGCAGTGCTGTATCAAATACGAGTGAGTTGTAAAAAGTGGTGATCATACTTCATAAGCTTCTAAGAGGTGAGAGAATAATAGTTTTAATGTTAAAACAAAAGGAGTTTATTAATAAATACAGAGAAGAGTCAATAGATATCCTGATGCAAGACACTGTGGAAAAATTAATGTTAGTAACGTGTGGGATGTATATGAGGTAATTATCAAGAAAAAGTACTAAGCCAGTATGACTATATGACAAAAGGAAGGGATATGTCCATCTAGTCTTATAAAGTTATTACCTAAGTGTAATTACAGATTGAGAGCTATGGTCATAGTGTCCCATCTTCCCAGTACTGTACTTTGTTATGACACTCTAAAGCCACTGAGGATTTTTAGCCTCTACTGCCTTCTCATTTAACTTGTTTTAACTGTTGTGACATGAAAAATGGATGGTAGCGCAGTCTCTCTAGGGCAGATGGAATGCCCTACCACTCTGTTTGCTAAAGTGAACTTTCTAATATTTTTTGGCAGTTTTGTTCCTTAGTTTGAATGTATGAGCTCTTGTTCTTGAAGTTGAAGTTTTCAACAGTTCTTCTTTGTCAGTGTTGATGATTCCTTTACTATTTTGTATGTTGTGGCCATATAATCTCTCTCTCTTTTCTTTGTATCTCTTGTTTTTCTTAGTTCCAGAAGACATTTACTTGCATGTCTTTGGACCTTTTCCAATTTCGTGATGTGCATTTTAAAATACTGGTACCATACAACAGCTGCATATTCAAATGTGGGTCTCACAAAGATCATGAACAATTTCCCTAATATTTCAATCCATGTGTTTAATTAAAAACAATTCTAAAATTGGAAAGCATAGCATACAATCCTCGCACAATGTTCTTTATGTGATACTCACATGGCAGTTTTCTTTCTAGAATCACCCCTAGATCTCTATCAGAATTCTTTAAAGCATTTTTCAGATAATTTGTAGGTTGTATATATGGCCTATTATCTTCTATTCCACATAACATAATGTGGCATTTTTTCACATTCAGTTCCATTTGCCAAGTGTTACTACATCCATATATTTTGTCCAGGTATCTTGTAAGGCATGACAATGGTCTAAGTATCTTATCTTCCCTAGTTGCTTGGTATCAGCAAACATGCAGACTCAGAGTCACAATAACGTGCTTGCTGATGTGATGCCCAAACCACACAACAGAAAACGAATAAATGACATTTTGTTCATCTTGGACAATTACACATCTTGATAATGGTCCAGGATAGACCAAAATGTTGACATTTCTACATTTTCTGATTTGTGGTTTGGACATATCAGCAAACGTGTTCATATAATTCTGTGTTTCTTCATTAATGGATTTCTTTCTTTGTTGTAACTTCCTAGCCTAAAAATGTCCTCAACAATGTTTTAAGCCTCCTCCATCTGTGTCCCCATCAGGGCTGATGCCTTCCATAATCATGTAGGTGGGAAATAGGGTGATGATAACGATTAAGATAATATATAATAAAAGTGTGTTGAGGCCTTTTTTAACATTATGTAAAAATCAAAACTAAGTTTATATTCTCTAGTTCAAATCTGTGAGATTTGATAATATGCCTGTAATAAGATCTTGGTACTCACCACTACAAACTTTGTATTTTGTTTCATAATGTAGGCTTCCTCAACTGATGAAGACAGCCTACCGACTGATGAGGACTCAGATACACGTCGTTTTGGTGGTATTAAGAGAATTAAAAGGAAACACAAAGCCTCAGAATTACAAAAACGTCAGGTTTGTATATGTTAAGGAGAAGTCATAATAATACAGTAGTAGTTATGATTCAAATAGGAGCAAGATAAGCTTTACCTCCTAGATAGTAATGATCTTGTAGATCACTTTAAATAAATAAATAATAAATAAATAAATGTTTATTCAGGTAGGATAAACATATCCAACCTGAATCTAATATCCATATCCTAAACTGTTACATATGGTAGTCTGTACTATGGGGGATATAGTATAACATGTGTTTAGGGGCAGTAGTTAGCATTAAGAGTTATCAAATATGGGAGATCTCAAAGGTCCGGCCCCCACTAAATATAGAGAAATAACTTGGTTTGGCCTATTACAGCAATAGTCAGCCTAGAGGTTGATCATAGATCTCCTACACAGGAAAAATGGATACTCCTTTAACTAACTTACTTATTTATTACCCCCTTAACAACCCCCCATATACATTCATACCAATTACAATAATAATAATTACTTTACCACACTATCTTACGTTAAAAGCCCTGGTCCACTTAGACAGGATACAAGGTTTACACTGAGAACAAGCTAGGGTAAAGTACTACTGGTTAAGAACTGAAGCTTGATGCAGCTTAGGGTAGTGAGACCACGTGGTACCCTAATACAACACAACACAACACTTAGGGGTACCTAAAACACTGGCAAATACTACCCCCAGGTCTCACCAAACTTTACTACCAGAGTAGGCACACTTACAACACAGGATATACTTAACTTAAGGTAAGGGAAATAAGTAAGAAGAAAGGTAGAAGGGGAGAAGCGCCGAGTCACCAGTCCAGTTGTTTACACCTCGAACGCCAGCAGAGAAGAACGCTTCCAGCGACCAGCTCAGGGCTCCCGCATTGTGGTGGTGCCGGGAGGAGCCTAATTGATTGTGCAGCTAAACACATTAAAAATTTTCCCCTATGCAACATATTGTTACTTTATTCGTTCTCAGGGTAGTTAATCTTATAACAATGTTATATTTAATCCACAACAAGCTCAAGAGTCTGAATGCTTGTAAGCAACAAGATTCGTCCTACGTTTGGCAGGGAAGATACGAACAAAAACACGTCGACTTGCGTCTTGCTAATCTAACGTTATCTTGAGTAGCTTATTTAGTTCACTTTGACCTCTGGTTTCCACTTGAGGAACCCAGGGTTGTAACACATACATACAAGAGATTTTACAAAAATTGATAGATTTATAGATAGAGCTAGTACATACAATGCCTAAAGCCACTATTACGCAAAGCGTTTCGGGCAGAAACGCTTTTTACCGGACAAACAGTCCAAGCAGCACTTAGTTCTAAAATACAACTGGAAAACTCCTGCTCATATAAATATAAAGAGCATGACCTACCAGGAACAGAGTACAGTATGTTCTGTGGTTGTTCTGCTCCACAGCTGTGGAACAGAATGTTAACAGCTGGTGTGTACATTAATAACTTGTCTTTATATAGGCCCAATTATGTTCAGTATCTTGGGCAAGTCTTATGGCTAGGAGAAGAGAAGACGTACAATGACGGTACAAATTAAATGTGCCATTATTGTAATTTTAAATTTTTATTTTATTTTAGTGTATTTAAAAGCCTCTTGAGTTTGGAAAACAATTATTAATCGATTGCAGTACATAACTCATATTTATTTTATTTATTTATTTTATATATATATATAAATATATATATATATGTCGTACCTAGTAGCCAGAACACACTTCTGAGCCTACTATGCAAGGCCCAATTTGCCTAATAAGCCAAGTTTTCATGAATTAATTGTTTTTCGACAACCTAACCTACCTAACCTAACCTAACCTAACTTTTTATGCTACCTAACCTAACCTAACCTATAAAGATAGGTTAGGTTAGGTTAGGTAGGGTTAGTTAGGTTCGGTCATATATCTACGTTAATTTCAACTCCAATAAAAAAAAATTGACCTCATACATAATGAAATGGGTAGCTTTATCATTTCATAAGAAAAAAATTAGAGAAAATATATTAATTCAGGAAAACTTGGCTTATTAGGCAAATCGGGCCTTGCATAGTAGGCTGAAAAGTGCGTTCTGGCTACTAGGTACGACATATATATATATATATATATATATATGCAATTGACGATCACAAAACACTGATCATTTTATGCGGAAAATCCACAGAGAAATATGAAATGAGGTGAACGTTTCGGCTCTGTTAAAGCCTTTGTCTTAGTCAGTCTGGTGTTGACAAAGGCTTTAACAGAGCCGAAACGTTCACCTCATTTCATATTTCTCTGTGGATTTTCCGCATATATATATATATATATATATATATATATTAATTCATGAAAACTTGGCTTTATTAGGCAAATCGGGCCTTGCATAGTAGGCTGAGAAGTGAGTTCTGGCTACTAGGTACGACATATATATATATATATATATATTATATATATATATATATATATTATATATATATGTCGTACCTAGTAGCCAGAACTCACTTTTTGGCCTACTATGCAAGGCCCGATTTGCCTAATAAGCCAAGTTTTCATGAATTAATTGTTTTTCGACTACCTAACCTACCTAACCTAACCTAACCTAACTTTTTCGGCTACCTAACCAAACCTAACCTATAAAGATAGGTTAGGTTAGGTTAGGTAGGGTTGGTTAGGTTCGGTCATATATCTACGTTAATTTTAACTCCAATAAAAAAAATTGACCTCATACATAATGAAATGGGTAGCTTTATCATTTCATAAGAAAAAAATTTGGAGAAATATATTAATTCAGAAAAACTTGGCTTATTAGGCAAATCGGGCCTTGCATGGTAGGCCAAAAAGTGAGTTCTGGCTACTAGGTACGACATATATATATATATATATATATATATATATATATATATATATATATATATATATATATATATATATATATATATATATATATAATATGTCGTACCTAGTAGCCAGAACGCACTTCTCAGCCTACTATTCAAGGCCCGATTTGCCTAATAAGCCAAGTTTTCATGAATTAATGTTTTTTCGACTACCTAACCTACCTAACCTAACCTAACCTAACTTTTTCTGCTACCTAACCTAACCTAACCGATAAAGATAGGTTAGGTTAGGTTAGGTAGGGTTCGTTAGGTTCGGTCATATATCTACATTAATATTAACTTCAATAAAAAAAATTTACCTCATACATAATGAAATGGGTAGCTTTATCAGGTCGTAAGAAAAAAATTAGAGAAAATATATTAATTCAGTAAAACTCGGCTTATTAGGCAAATCGGGCCTTGCATAGTAGGCTGAAAAGTGCGTTCTGGCTACTAGGTACGACATATATGTATATATATATATATATATATATATATATATATATATATATATATATATATATATATATATATATATATATATATATATATATATATATAAATAAATAAATATATATAAATAAATAAATAAGAAGGTACACTGGATTTATGAGAATGTAAAACATCAATGCTATGAATTCTCTCTCTCTCTCTCTCTCTCTCTCTCTCTCTATATATATATATATATATATATATATATATATATATATATATATATATATATATATATATATATATATATATATATATATATATATATATATATATATATATGAGAAGGTACATTGGATATATGAGAATTCATAGCATTGATGTTTTTACATTCTTTCAAAGCAACTAACAGCATTTTGGGCAGGTCCTTAATCTGACAGATAATTTTAAGTATGAAATTTGTAGTAAAAATTGAAAAATTTTAACAAGTACATTGTAGCATAATTTGAGGATTATTAATGGGTACATGTAGGAAAATTTGCATTCAACATAAGGACCATGATATAAGTTGATAGCAGTGATTGCAATAGTGGAGTGGCATGGTTTAGGCACATATATTGGGGGAGTGGGTAGCACAAGATACAGTGCAGGTTTGAAGCACTAGGTAGGAAACTATGAGGATGAAATTAGGTTCTTTTTGTTTCACTTTTGAATAAGGCATAAGTTGGCCAGCTTTTTAATATATTAGGGAGTGATTTCCATAGACTAAGTCCCTTTATTTGCATAGTGTTTACACAGATTTAGTTTGACTCTGCGGATATCAGAGATATTTATTTCTGGTGTGGTGATTATGGGTTCTATTACATCTGTCAAGGAAGAGTTTCAGATTAGGATTTGCATTTAGGAACAAGGTTTCGTACATGTAAATAGTACAAGAGAATGTGTGGAGTGAGTTTGTTTATCATGTTTAGGGATTTAAACAGAGGGGCTGTGTGTTGTCTAAAAACAGTTTGTTATTGGTCTGATAGCAGATTTTTGGTGGGTAATGATTGGCATCAGGTAGTTTGCAGTGGTTGAACCCCTTGCACAGATACCATAAGTAAGTTAGGGATAGTCGGTCGGTTAAATTTAAATCAAGACAGACAGTGGCATTGTAAGAGTGAAAACCTGCCGTATCTATAATCTTCCCATATTGCAGGGCACACCATTAAGACGCTGTTTGGGTAAACCTTCTGCAGTTGAAGTGTTGGCAGTGCCTCTCTCCAGTGAAGGAAGACAGAAAACTGAAGCTAAGTAAGCCATTGTTCATTATTTGTGTTATAAATTCTTATTGGATCATTTACAGCTGTTTCTTTGTTAACATTTTTAGTTTTGAACTCTAATAGCTGAGTGTCAGACCAGTTCTGCAGTTTGTTCACATGTTCTGGATGCAGCTTGATATTTTCTGTCATTCTCTCCCATGAGTAAGTCCTCATCTATCCTTTCTAGTTCTACGGTACTACATTTATTTTCCATTTCAGCAAAAGTGTTCTGTTACCAACGTGCCACTTTGAGTAAGTACAGGGAAGCTATTTCCTTCCAGAAATCAGGCATAAAATGGAATGAAATGTCCTTTTCTGGTAGGACATTTCAGTAGCACCTTATCCCCTCCCTGCCTTCCCATTGGAAATTTTAAGAGTTCAATACTGGCAGCTGGGCAGGCTAAGGCTGAAATTATTCATTTGATACCTGCTTGATGGGGTTCTGGGAGTTCTTCTACTCCCCAAGCCCAGCCCGAGGCCAAGCTCGACTTGTGAGAGTTTGGTCCACCAGGCTGTTGCTTGGAGCGGCCCAAGAAATTGTAGAATTTGCAGAAATATGTTGTTTGGCTTGGTTTCATCTTCCTTATTTCTTTCAATGGTTTGTTTTATTTGACTTTCTGATTAGTTATACTATAGTTTGGGTAAATATCTGAACCCAAGTTCTTCTCACTTCGTAGAGAGAATCAGATCTGGTTCTATCTTTCAAGGTCAGCATAGGTCTCATAGTCCTTACAAAATACTTTGGTTTAGCTGTTCCAACATGTAAGCACCAGGGAGCTAATGAAGGTCTTAACAGAAATTTTCTGTGGGGAGCTCCTTCGGCTCCCTGGAGCTGTCAGGCTAATATGCGATATATTAGACTAGGGCATTAGTCATTGGAGTTCTGCCTACCGGGAACCACGAGCCAGGACCTGGCCCCCCTTAGAAATTCACAGGGAGCAATGCCCCTGGAAAACCTGTGGTTGGGGTTTTTCCTAATCCGTCATCGACCGAGTTTAGGCACCCAGAAAGGTAGGCATAACAAAACAAACCCCACATGAACAAATCCACAATTGCTGTGATGAGGGGTTCGAACCTATGCACGGGATGTTCTAGCCAATACAAAACCACACATGGTAAGAACCCGACATTAGTCTAGTCAAAACTTCACATGGCAAGAAAATTGCAACTGAAAACCGAACAGAGAAACAGAACTCCCCCAAATCCCAAGGAAATAAGCAAACAAGCAAACGTCACACCTCACCACCACGTCGTTTGTCTGCGCAACCCTTCCCTTCCCGAGAGGGGAAGGGGGGAGCCCCGGACCTTCCATGCCAGCTGCTCAGCAACTAGTTCATTGGCTAATGCAATCTAGGGAGGTCGTCAACTCTGGCCTCAATTTCTTGGCAGTGTTTTGCCTTAGTGATGCTCTCTGCAACTTAGTGGTGTGGTGGTCAGGTATCATAAGAGTACTGGGGCTGCATGTGCTTAGGGGACAGCCCTTACTAAGTGCCCTGTGAGTACTTTCCTTGAGTGTTAGGGTTACCCTCCCTGGTGCCTTTAGAACGTCATTTCCGTAGGGGTTTTTTGCTGTTCAGCATTTACCGCACCCTTGGGATCAGCTGAGGGTTTCATGGCCCTTGTTTAGCCTTGGATAGGGAGTGGTATTGTTGCTGGTTCGGGCATCAAGGTGTTGCCCAGCCAGCTTACCGATGCAGTGGCCGGTTCCTGTTTCCTCTGGGGCCGTTATACTTTTTTTTATTTTTTTTTATTTTTTTTTTTATTGTTCTTGGGAGGGGGGTCTGCCTTGTATGGCTATAGGACCACTTATATTGTTTTGGTGGCCCCAGCTAGGGCCCCGTGATTATATATGCCACAGGGGTTCAGTGTTTTGATCATCCCCTTGTTAGCTTTGGATCTAACCAGCTAGCCCGGGCTTCCTGTAGTAGTTAGCCTACGGGCCCTGGAAAGCCCTGTAGGGGCTCGATGAACCTATAGATGCGTTTTCAGAGTTCCTGCTCACCTCGTGCGAGTTTGAAGATTGCTGTATGCCCCTTGTCTCAGAGTGACAGTCACCACTTTTGCCTCAGTCATGCTGCCTGTTGGGTCAACGACACCTTTGACCCAGAGTCTTGCGAGTCTTGTTCTGTTTGTTTTCCAATTTAGCCATTCTGATAACATTGATATTCGGGTTGAGACGGCAGCCACATTGCATGCTAGGTTTAGATTGCTGCAACGTGCTAGGTTGGTTGCCCACCCGGATGCCCTGAGGCTGCCCCGTTTTGGTTATAGGGACCAGGACTTAGGGCATTAGTCGCTTCCACTTTGGTTTTGTTTGCGCTCCCTGGTCCTTACCCTGTCATTTGTGTGTGTGGCTTTGGGTCACTCGTTGCAGCAAGTTGTCTCACCTTTGAATTGAGAAGCATGTGGTGGCCGCCGCCTGGGTAAGTCCCTTTTTTCCTTATCTTTGGTTATGTAGCTCAAAGGAGCCCAAGGGGCTCCCCACAGAAAACCAGCCTTGAATGTAATGTAACGTCATTTATTGGGTGAGCACTGGAGGCTCCCTGGCACTCTCTCTCCCTCCGGTCAGCGGTTTTTGCATTGTTTTGATGCTTAGCCTCCGAACTGGAGTTGCTGAGTTGTCAGTGTGGAGGGTCCTTGGCTCTCCCATCCCCTTCCAGGGGAGGTGTTGGCTATGCAACCAAGCTATACGGCGGCGAGGTGTGAAGTTTGCTTGTTTCCTTGGGATTGGGGAAGGGGGGCTTCTCTGTTTGGTTTTGCCTGGAATTTTCTTTCCATGTGGGGTTTGCTTTGTTACGCCTATCTTTCTGGGTGCCTAACCTCGGTCGATAGCAGATCAGGAAAACCCCCAACCACGGGGGTTTTCCAGGAGCCACTGCTCCCTGTGCCTCTCTGAGGGCCAGGTTCTGGCTCATGGTCCCTGGTAGGCAGAATTCCATTAACTAATGCCCAAGTATATCGTAAATTAGCCCAATAGTGCCAGGATGCCTCTGGGGCTCACCCAGAAAATGGCGTTTCATTACATTTAATGCTGGCTTTTTGTTTTGTTAAATTCAACTTTTGTTTTCTGGGGGTGGGGGAGCCCCTTTGGCTCCCCGGAGCTATCCAGGCTGATATGTAACTATTAGTTTTCTGGCATCAAAGTGCATTGAGTTCTTGCCTACCGAGGACCACGAGCCAAAACCTGGGCCCCCCCCCTCAGAAAGGCACGAGGAGCAATGGCCTATAGAAATCCCGATGTGGTTGGAAGCATTCCATGTCTGCCACTGACCGGGTCTGGCACCCAGATTGCTATCGAAAGCCAAACGAGTGGACAGAACTCCCCAAATGAAATACTAGCAAACTAGCATGATGTCATCGCTTTGCCGCGCCGCCGTCTGCACCACCTCCCCTCCCCGGGAGGGGGAAGGGGAAGCCCCAGACCCTCGCGCTGGTGATCCAACCGGCAGTTCTTGGCTGATGTGATACTGGCTGGTCAGGTGCCTTTGGCTCCAGTTTTGTTTGTTACTGTGCCTTGTGGCGTGGTCTGTCTCTACAGGTGGTTCATGAGCCAGGAGTAATATTCTACAGATCATACTAATAGACAAACACTAGCCTAAACTTAACTGTACCGTTCCTAATCTTAAGTACATAATTAACCATTACTCCCACCCTTAACCTACAGCCACCTACGTGACCCAGAGTGTCTCCCTAGCTTCTCCGCCGGTCAACAACTCAAAACTGTTGCCACCCCTGACCAGACTATCTAACGTGTCCCCAACGTGAAGTCTACTGACATACTAAGCCTCCCCCTAGCATGCTGTACAAGACCAGTTCGGGTTATTGCGTTCAAATGGAGTAAAACAGTCGATCGCAATAATCTGAGGAACCACACTAAACTACTTAAGAACTACACCTGCCACTCCCCACTGACCTGGAGACCAGCGGTGGCTGGGTGTCCCTGTGGGACATGCGAGGTCTCACACTCAGCTGACCTGCACTACCAACACCGCTGTCGCAAGTTCTGGTGAACATTCCCTGAACACCACAAAACTCACAAAATCACTAAACACAACACCAGAGAATCACTATCTCCTAACCTGAAAAAAAGTTCGCTAACTCGCGAATAATAAACACCTGTCAAGATCTCCCTGATAGCGCCTGAGCGGCAAAAAGACACGTGGGACTGAACAATGTTAAAAGAACACCAACTACCTTAAACATTGTTCAACACCGCTGCCATCATTGTAACGGGGGGTGGGGAAATAGCTCTATCTTGTCCATTATTCCACCCCCCAGTTAACTAACGAAGCCGGGGGAAACAGCTCTCTCTAGTCCGTTATCCCGTCTCCAGTTAGCTAACTATTCTAGAGCACCTCCAGAGTTCCTAAGGCAAGTGTCTTTTACTGCTCGGTACTTGGCCACCCTTGAAGTCGGCCAAGTCTTTTGGAGTCTTTTGTTTATGTGTTTTCTTGCAGGTAGGAAACACAGGGGGGGGGGGGTCCTGCCTTTGGTTGGTTGCCCCCTGTTTCTTTTTAAGGTCCTTCTCATATATACAAGTGTTTTGGTGGTACCCCCTGCTTGACCCCCCCCCCCATGAATGGACACGTCTCGGGGGTTCAGCTTTAGAAGTTTCCTTGGTAGTTTTTGGCGCTGGTTCGCAGTACCCAGCCTGGGTGTCCCTTGGCATGTTACCAAGGCTAAGGGCCCTGGGAAACCCTGTGGGGGCTCTGTGGTTCGATGGATGTGACCCTCGAGTCCCCCCCCTTGCTTCATGCAAGATTGTTAGTTGCTCTGTCTTCTTGTCTCAGGGTGTCATTCACTAGTTGTGCCTCTGCTATGCTGCCTGTGTGGTCGGTGGTTCTTTTGACTCGGAGTCGTGCGACGTTATTGTTGTTGGTGCGTGCTCAGTTCACCCTAAGGGTGAACTGGACCCATGCTGCAGGCACCCTGTCACCCTGCACCCATGCTCTGAGGGTGCAGGCAGCAGCTGTGTGGCATGCTATCTTGAGG